ATTCTGGATAACAATCAGGCTTGGCTGATAAGGGGCAAGTAATATTCATCAAGGGTAATGACCATCTCCAGCAGAGAGTCTGACCATCTCCCAATAACATTTAATCGTTGCCATCATTCAAGAAGCATGACACCATCCAAGGCAAACCAGCCACTTGATTGGCACCCCAACCAGTAGCTTAATAATTCATCCCATCCACCACCAGCATACAGCCACCATATTGTATGCCATCTTCAGGAAGCATTGTAGCAACTTTCCAAGGCTCCTTTGACAGCGGTCACAAACCTGAAACCGCCACCCTCTAGACGGACAAAGACAGAGTAAGACACCACGCTGACTTTGAATTATATTATTATTCTGACATTAACAATACATTAAAAACCTCAAAATTCCTCTCAAACGACACCGTGGGAATACTTACACTAGATAGGCTGCAACAATTCATGGAACTGATTGACTACCACCTTCTTAAGGGCAGGTGGCAATGGAAACGATGTTAGCCTTCCCTGTAACTCCAACACCCCAGGAATGAATAAAAATAAAGCTGTGTTGAAAATGCTGTCAGAATGTAGGGAGTTCTGGTCTGTGTGCATGGTAACCCTGTCGGAACTCTCAGGCAGCCTGGATCATCCACCAGATCCCTGATTCTGACACTGCACTTAGGTTAGTGCAGGTGGAATAATAACTAAGGAGGCAGCTGTTTTGGGGCAAAGAATCTCTGCATTTATTAAATATAAAGGTGCATATCTCACAAGAAATAAAAAGGCAAAAGTAATAAGCAGGGAAATAATACAAAGGTGAATAAATTACAAGAGATAAAAGAAATGCAAAACAGTGTAACTGACGCTACCAGTTATTAACTATTAACACAGGCCAATTACTATTATAAACTAAACAGTAGTTTAAGCACAGACACTTTAATCAGACTTCCTGACCTTGGAGTGCCCTGCACTATCACCACCAACCTTCCCGTCCCTGCGAGTTAGGTTGGATACCTTTGGGTCTCCAGCATAATAAGCTCACCACTGGGGATAAATGCATTTTGAATTACAGCTGGCCATTCCCGCTTGCCATAGCCAATGCTTCGCTGAAGACTTCGGATGGTGTAGGTTTTCAGTCTGGGTTGAGTCCGCTGATGCAGCAGGATGTGTTGTGAATGTATTGAATGAGTACTTTGGTTTTCTTCCTTTTTGGTGGGTTTTGTGAGCGGGTTTTTCACCTCAGGATGTGTCTGAGGCCTTGTGGTGGTGGTAGGGTCGGTGGTTCTCGGAGGTCATTGGTTGTTCGGTCTGCAGGTCATGACCAGTTATTGGATGTTGGAGATGGCTGTAGCTCAGTTGCAGAGGCTCTCTGGATCTCTTCTGTTAGTAGCTGCGAAAAATAGCTCTTGAGGCAGATTTTTTTTCCCCTCTCTCCTTCTCTCTATTTCCCTTTTCTGTCTCTCCAGTTGAGAAAATTGTACTAAATTGCAGATCTGTTGGCGCCAAATCTGGCTTTCGCAATAGTATTACTGTTTCCCTTCTGGAGGTGAATTAGTTTCCTGATCCTTAGAGTAGGTGTAAATGTCTTTCAATCGGAGGTGAATAGGTTTCCTGATTGTTCAGAGTAAGTGTAAATGTATTTCGATTGCGTGGAATGTCTCGTGTTTTCTGTGAATAAATATTTATTGAAGTTAAATGCCTCGGTATCTCTGAAGAGTCCAACATATCTGAAGCTGTTGTCTTAGGTCTGGTTTATTTTTCCTTCAGGGCTGAGGCTTGGCTAGGATTTCGAACTGAACCATGGTTCCAGACAGCTATCCCTGTGATCGTGTATTCTACAGCATAGCGCAGCTGCCCTTTTGTTTGTTTTAAAAGTTCTGTTAAAAGTCCCAAGGTTTTTGATCCAGTATTCTAAATGACAGGGATTTTTGCTCACTCCAACAGCATAATCCAAGATTTCATTTGTCAAAGAGGAACATTCAGAAATGGAACAGGATTGGAACCCAAACATTGGATTCAGCTATTGATGGCAACCAAATATATAATTACAAGCACCTTAACAGTGACACTGTCAGAAAAAATGGGTTCTCCTCCTCCATCTAGTGTTGAAGAAATTTCAGAGTCTGAGATGGATGCACCCGATGTTGCAGCCTTGATGCTGTTACCGCCCGAAGAAGAGGAGGATTTTTTCTTCCGAGGTGCTCTGGGTGCAAGAGACAGGCTACGGTCCTGTGCTTGTGTCCACGTCAGAGTCAGAGGAACCAGTCCTGGGGTGAAACCATCCCGGGAAATGCTGTAAGAAAAAGAACAGGCCTATACCCTGGACTTAGGGGTCAGGGAGGGATGTAGTGATTGGAATGAGGTTGGTAAGGTGGGTCTCATTGAGTGTGAGTTCCCTGATTAGGGCTGTTAACTGGGCCAGTCAGGGAGCCCTGACTGACTGATATAAACAGGAGTGTCAGACATTCTCACTACTCTAGGGACTGGCTCTGAGTTAACTGGTCAAAGTCCATGTACTGTGCACATGTAAATAAAGGGTGATTTGGTGACGGGATACCATTCTCCGTGGAGTTACTTCAGACACAAAGGAACTAGTCAAAGTTGAAATTTCCTGATTAGATGTTCAGCCAGGATGCTTAAAATTGGGCCCTGGATTTCAATCATTTGAACATATAGCCTCAACTCTCTTACCTTCACGAGCAGTGACATAATGGCTTGTCCTGCAATGTAGCACCAGTGCAGTTTGGACATACAATGTTGAGCCTCCGAGATAGTTCCTTCCTCACACAATAATCAGAAGCAACAAAGTCCAATTTTCTACATATTTTATTTTTGCACTATGGTTAATTAAAATAAAAGGAAGTTACAGATTCCAGTTTGGTTAGTGAGCAAGGAATAGCCAGAGGCATGGGAACCAAATTATTCCAGTAGGAGGTGTGGGGAATCAAAGAACTGGTGCCCCTTTGGGTGTATCTTTAATCCACTGTCTTTCTGCCAAGATCACAGTTTTCTGTTAAGCTTGTGACCACCTGAAGATCGCTCCTATTAGGAGCGTCAAGTCAGCAGATGCAATATAGCCCTGACAGGCAATGCAAATATTTTGCACAGCATTTGCTTGATTATATTTCAGCTATTCCCTTTCAAAGCAAACTTCACCCAGGGTATTCACTTCAATAATTTAAACTTCTGGACTCCAGGATTTGATTCCAGACCAGCACTCATACTCCATTCAAAAGGCCTAGAGAATTTTCAGGCTAGGTATCTTGGGAACACAACCCTGAAATCAAAAGGTTCGATGTGTACAGCAGTAACAAAAAAGTTAATCCACCTTATTTACTCAGTATCTATTGATGAAGTCTGTGCTTCTCTCTAGAGATTATCAGGAGCAATTTAATATTTTTATTTATTGCTCTAATCATCTGAGACATCTGATCAGTGATATTTAATTCACTTGACTTCACACCAATAGAACATTAATTTGTTAGATAGTCATACACTGAAAAATGAATGGCAATTTGTCAAAGTCTCTTCCCTGGCTGTGAAAATTTTGCAATGACTTTTGGACAAACATCATTGTCTACAAATCCTCTTTGTACAATTTTGTTTAAACCGAGGCAGTAACTTCTGCTCCAGAACAATCTCAAATATGGTGACTAATCCAGTCAAGGTGGTTTTAAGGCTTCAATTGTGTAGATATGAACGAACTGTTCTTTCTGGTAGGAAAAGAGATAAAATTTTGAGAGGAGAACTAGGTCATTGGAGTACTTCTTCACACAAATGTAAATGATTTGGATGTGAACATAGAACATGTGGTTAGTAAGTTTGCAAATGACACTAAAATTGGAGGTACAGTGGATAGCAAAGAAGGTTACCTTAGAGTATGACAGGATCTTGATCAGATGGGCCAATGGGCCGACGAGTGGCAGATGGAGTTTAATATAGATAAATGTGAGGTGTTGCATTTTGGAAAGGCAAATCAGGGCAGTACTTGTACACTTAATGGTAAGGTCCTGGGGAGTGTTGCTGAACAAAGAGACCTTGGAGTGCAGGTTCATAGTTCCTTGAAAGTGGAGTCACAGATAGACAGGATAGTGAAGAAAGCGTTCAATACGCTTGCCTTTATTGGTCAGTGCATTGAGTATAGGAGTAGGGAGGTCATGTTGCGGCTGTACGGGACATTGGTTTGGCCACTTTTGGAGTATTGCATGCAATTCTGGTCTCCCTCCAATGGGAAGGATGTTGTGAAACTAGAATGGATTCAGAAAAGATTTACAAGAATGTTGCCAGGGTTGGAGGGTTTGAGCTATAGGGAGAGGCTGAATAGGCTGGTGCTGTTTTCCCTGGTGCATAGGAGGCTGAGGGGTGACCTTATAGAGGTTTATTAAATTATGAGGGTCATGGATAGTGTAAATAGACAAGGTATTTTCCCCTGGGTGGGGGAGTCCAAAACTAGAGGGCATAGGTTTAAGGTGAGAGGGGAAAGATATTAAAGGGACCTAAGGCGCAACTTTTTCATGCACAGGGTGGTGTGTGTATGGAATGAGCTGCCAGAGGAAGTGGTGGAGGCTGGTACGATGTAAAAGGCATCTGGATGGGTATATGAACAGGAAGGGTTCAGAGGGATATGGGTCAAATGCTGGCAAATGGGATTAGATTTATTTAGGATATGTGGTTGGCATGGATAAGTTAGACCGAAGGGTCTGTTTCTGTGCTGTATATCTCCGAGTGAGAGTGAGAGCAAGAATATGGAACTCTCATTCCCACAATTTGCTATAGGATTAACTGGAGCTTTCCTAACTCAAATTGCTAGATTTTTATCTGTTGAAGGCATCAAGAGATAAGTCACAAAGGCAAATAATTTAATTGAAGTGCAGATCAGCCTTGGGGGCTCAAGCAAAGGTAACTGACTGGCCTACTCCTCCCTCTTTCCCAGTGCTATGGAGGCATTGGTAATGTTGCAAGGTGGTCCATATCTAGGTGTAAAGGCTAACTCCATTTATTTTAAAATATATTTCCCAGGATATCGTGGATACACATCCAGGTCTAACGTTTTTGAAGGATGCACCAGAATTCCATTCACGCTACATTACCACGGTAAGATCATGTTGGAGAGGTGGTATGTTACAATCACGGTCTTCAAGCTGGGGCTCCTACATCTGAGGGAAATCCCTGTGGGAATCTGAAATCTCAGGATTATCAGGCATCTCTCTCTCTCTCTCTCACACACACACACTCACTCTCACACACACTCTCACTCACACACACACACACACACACACACTCACACTTATCTAATTTTTTAAACTTATTTCTGTTCCCGTAGTCCATGAAAAGTAGTTTTCAATAGTGGTCATGCTTTGATATCTTTGGATACTGGACACTAAGCTCCTGAGAAAAGTGGCAATGTTTGCAGTGGATTACCCCACACCTTCATACAGAAAGGTTGGAGAGCTAGTCTTGGAATATCCTATTAGAACAGGCAGCTGTGAAATAGTTCCTGCATGCTGAAGTCTAGCCTGATGGGTTTTTTTTTAATTCTCCTGTCACTTTACAATACAGCTAGTCTATGCTTTGGAAACAGCCATTGTGCAGAGAGATTTGAAAGGAATATTAATGATTCAATGGAGAGATTTTAGTCAGAAATAACTTTTCAAGCATTCTGCATGTGTGGATTTTTAAGGGTGGGCAGTCACAATGCATTTACTGATGGCTTATTCAGTTTTAATATATGAACTTTGACATAGCGGTTAAAGCAGGTTTACATCATTTTGTGACCTTTGTTTGCCAACTTGGTGAAAATGATGATATTGTGATGCTGGCACTTTTAAATCTCTTTCCATGACATCTGCAGGAATTTTTATGAGAGTAATCCCAAGTGCCCTGAAGATAGCACAACTGGAACATTGCCAGTGTCAAGGAGTTTTGACTCTCTCATGCCTAGAAAGAAAGAGAGCTTGTGGGTTGAGATTCACTCTTCCAATATGTGTATCTGCTGTCCAAAGACAGTCATTTTAATTTTAAAAATGACCAATAGCTTATTTTCTTTTAGTCGACACGTCACTGTGAGTCTAAATTCATTGTGGATCCAAAATACAAGGCACCAAGTGATACAAATTCAAACAGCAACTCAACAGAGTTGCCAGTTTTCACCAGACTGCCCACATTATGCCCTTGACCAGAGGAGATTGTAGGAAGGTCACAGCAAAGTAGAAAACCATTCAGCCCATCAGGTCTTTGTAGGCCCTCTGCAAGGGCACTCCAGAATCCCTGCTCTTTCCACGTAGCCCTGCATTTTTGTTCCTTGCATGCACCTGTCTATTTCCCTGAAGAGAAGCTTGACTTGATATACTTTCCCTTTCAGGCAATATATTCTGAATCATGACCTTTTGCTGCATAAAGTCGTTTTTCTTCATGCCACTATCACGTGCATGTTATTTACTTCCTAGTTCTGAAGAATAATCAGATTGCTCTCAAAACTTTATTCAAATGCTCCTTCCATGGATATTTTCAGACCTGCTGAGTTTCTCCAGCTCTTTTTATTTTATTTCTTCATAATCATCTTTAGTTCTTTAACTAATCACTTTCAAATGTGTTTTCTGTGTTCTCTGATTCTCAACCCTTCCACCAAGCAAAACAGTTTCTCTCTATCTACTTTATCCAGATGCCCATGATTTTGAATACAAGTATCAAACTTCCTTTCAACATTCTCTGCACTAAGGAGAACAACCTAGGCATGTCCGATCTACCTGCTTAACTGAATCCTCATCCTTGGGACCATTCTCTTAAATGTCTTCTTCACACTCCAAAAGTCTTTGTGTCTTTTCTAATGTGTACTGCCCAGAATTGAACACAATAGTTCAGTTGTGGTCAATTTACTGTTTTTCAGAAGATAGTTACATCTGTGGGCGAGGAGAGAGAATAAAAGATATTTACCCATAATAGGTACATACAGTCAAAGTTAAAACAACAGTTGAAAAAATCCAGTATTAATTATTGTTGTACAGAAAGTCACTTAGTCATAGTTCGTACAGCGAGATAACCAATATTATGTTTCTCTACTACTGTTTTGATTATTTTCCATGACATTTCCTAAATCAGTAAAATATTTTGCATCTTCTTAAGTACATTGGGATTCGATGATTTATCATACAGGTTCGAGACATATATTGTTTAAACTAACATTGTTCTTAAGTAATCTACCCTTCCAAGATTCTCTGAAGGTTAAAAATTAAATTTCATCTAAGCCCTGCCTTCCATAAATAATAATCCTTTGTTGAACTGTTCATTCGTTCTGCACTCTGTCTCTGTCTAACTTTTATACAGATGGCTATTGCTGATGAATGTGGGTCACATTAATGGCATTCCATGGCATTAACTCAAGTATAACGATTTGTGAATTGCTGTTGCCAAATCTTACTTCCCCTCCACTTTAACTTAGTCACTACATAGTGCTATTGCAGAGTGCCACTTGTAGTGAATGTTTTTGGAGGCATGATGCGGGGGGAAAGGTAGCTGACATACTTCATTTTGTTTAGAGAAGATTTCTGAACTCAAGAACCAACTCAGAAGATTTCAGTTACAATGCACATTTGGCCAGGGTGAATCAGAAGTAGGGATTTGACTCGTTATATACTTTTTTTTAAACCTTGTGCTATATAGCCAAATGGTTTTCTACTTCTTGATTATGAATCAGAATTGTAACTGCAGGTTTTTATCAACAACACAGGCCATAGCACACAGCTGATGGGAATATTGTATGCCTGTTTCTCTCTCTCTCTCCCTCCACCCCCCACCCCCCAACCTCTCTCTTTATCTTTTTCTCTCCCTTATTTGGATTTGCAGTGGCAAGACTAATTAACAGCTGTTTCTTTATCGACTGTATTGTTTCCCCCAAATGCCAAAGATGTTTACAAATATCCCAGTTACATGGAATTAAATGCACCTCAGTGACGCAACAAACCAATCCCAATTATGGAAGGAAAGAAGGATTTTGAGTTCTGGCATGAAAAAATGAGATCCACATGACTAGATCCAAAAAAGTTTCGGGCTGACAACTGTAACCAGTTGTGTGTGCATGAGTAAGTAGCAAAGATTTCTAAATCATCATGTCATGGAAAGAGTGAGAGTACTCAAAGGTGATCTCTATCCTATGACTCTCCATATTAGGTATGTAGTTTGTCATTTGGTTTCTTGATGTGTGAATAATGTTAATCCCTCTGTTTGTTAACAAGTCATAGTGAGGTGATTTAAAATAGAATGGTAATTTCTCCTTGGAGGCCACACATATTGAATGATGCTTGAGGCTGGCAAGACTATGCTGTCAGTTTTATAGGACGTCTGTCTATAAACTGTGGCATGTAATCATGCTGCCGATTTGCCCTTTCCCTTATTTCCTGGTAATAGGATCTGTCTGATTTGTATACAATTTTATCATGCGGTTTATGGTTTACCTACTGTTTACTTTCATAGGTCATACAGAGAATATTCTACACAGTCAACAGATCCTGGTCTGGCAAGATAACTCTGACAGAGCTGAGGAAGAGCAACTTCCTGCAAGTATGTAAATCTTCTGCCAGAGGCTGCAGAAATCAGTCATGATTTATCTCAGACTGTCCAATATGCTGTTAATAATAGAGGTCAGAAACAAAAATTACAAGTTGAATGTGTCAAATTCCACCAATGTATTTAAGGATTTTATAGCAAAGGAAGAGATGCAGAAATACAGTTTTCTTCCACAAGACACCTCCAATAGCATGAGCAAATTCTTTGAATTAAAAATGAATTGGCCATTTATTACATCAACTCTGATCCTTCCTTTGACCAAATACAACTACCCAATCATGGATCCAGCCACATTTATCCAAACATGGTAGCAATATGAATTAAAACTTATCCTTGTATTTGGTTTTGTCTTTTTTATTTTCTTTGATATCATTCTAATGTTACAATTTATCTAGTTATTTTTTGACAATACAGTGGTTCCAACAACATGCAGCTTTTGACCCAATGTGTCTAAATTTGTCCTTTAAACCTTCCATCCTATTCCTAACTTGATGTAAAGGTCATGAAGAAAATGTTCCTCAATATTAAGTTACCTTTTGCTACTTCTGAGTGGTTGCAATTAGAATAATGAAACAGCACAAGGCTTACAAAGGTACTCACTGCAGAAATCAGCATTGGATATGCATCTTTATTGTTCACATTCTTCTTTACTCTTCTTACGCATAGTGACATATGAGGAAGACAAAGCACATTCTTGCATCTCTTTTCAAAGCTAGATTTTTTTTTCTGGGAAAGGGTCACCAGTGTGCTACCAGAGTCTGTAACTTGAGGTTGTCACTGCACATGAAGTATAGCTGGCAGGAGACTCTCACATACGGTTCCTATCAAAGACATGTCAGAAGAATCTACAGGTTGATAGTCAAACTGTTTAGCCAGTTACAAGCATACCTTCTATGGCCATCAAATCCCAGAGTGGAACTTGAACCCAGAGAATCTGGCTCAGAGGTACCTACTGCTCCTTAAGACCTCCCCCTTATCTATATTAGTGTGGGATATTGAGTTTTAAGATCTTAATGCAGTCTAACAATTTAAATTCTCTATGTTAGGTGAGATTCTGCTGGAGCAGAGAATCTCATGGCTAGGCCCATAGTTGGAATAATTCACACAGATTTTGATTTTAAAACTTGTTTGTCCACAAACCTCCTGGTGTGAGCTGACAAGAGAGGGAACAGTGGAATCTTAATGAACAACAGAATGAACACTGTTAGTGGAATTTTATCAGAAGCATGGGAGCAGCTCTGAAGGCAGGGCAGGGGTGCAGATTTTCAGAAAATATTGCGTCATGACAGAGTCCACTTCCAAAAAAAATGTTCAGAGGCAAAGACTAAATGGCCACTTGCCCACCAGATATCGATTGTGAATTACAAGCAATGAAGTGTCTATTCCACGGGCAAATGACAATGCTGCTGGAAACTTGGCACCAATGGATAGGCCAATCACTGAAGAGGATGCCCATCAGATTCCTGCAGGTGGTCCTCTGGTGAGAATTTAGAATCACTGAGGTCCCCTTAAACAGCACCCATCTTTCCCCGACTGCCGGAACTCAAGGTGCCAGATGTTACAGAGGTGACCATAGGCCATTCTGTGTCCCCCCGACACTGACGGCTTGGCAGTTATTGCCATATGTACACCACTTTTTCAAATCTTCAAGGGCACCTTCACGTTGAGGTGTGGCTGCCAACTGAGTGCTTTCTTTGCTCAATCTTCTGCCATTGGGTTTCCTACTAATACTGCTTGCCCGTACCCCTTGTTGAACAGAGCCCCCAGATTGTTAATTGATTACCTCCAGGAAGATCATGCAGGCAGGCGAACATCCAGCAGCATCAGGGTCAGCACTCAGAAATTTAACAACCCAAGTGATGAGATTCTGCTTCAATCAAATCAATTCACCTCTTAGTTTTATAAACTCCAGCAGTTACAAGCCTAGCTTGTCCAAATCCCTCATAATCAATCTACTCATTCCAAATAATAGTCTGGTAAACCTTTTCTGAGTTGCTTCCAATGCATTTGTATATCTCCTTAAATAAGAAGTACACAGAACTCCACACGCAGTCTCTCCATTGCTCTGCGTAACTGAAGAATGTCCTGCTTAATTTTATGTAAAATTCTCCTCATAATAAATGATAACATTCTGTTGGCTTTTCTAATTACTTGCGGTACCTGCATACTAATCCTTTGCGATTTCTGAACTCAGACAGCTGGATTCTTCTGCATCTGTGAGCTTTGCAGTGTCTGTTTTTTTTTTAATTCTTCCTTCCAAGGTGAACAATTTCACATTTTTCCACATTATACTCCATTTGCTAGATCTCTGTCAACTGGCATAACCTATCTATATCTTTATGCTCCTTTATATCCTCTTCACAGCTTACTTTCCTGCCTATCTTTGTGTCATCAGCAAATTTGATAACCATACCTTCTGTCCCTTTATCCAAGTCATTCATATAAATTTCAAACAGTTGATGTCCCAACACTAACCCTTGTGTGGCACACCACTTATTATATCTTGCCAAGTTGAAAAATATACCTACAGTCTGCTTCTGGTTAGCAAACCAATCTTCTGTTTATGCCAGTATGATACATGCTACATCATGAAATTTTACTTTCCACAATAACCTTTGATGTGACACTTTATTGAGGATATTCTGGAAATTTAAGTACCTTTTTATCCACAGCACTTCCTCAATAGATTTGATAACATGAATTCCCCTTCACAAAACCATGTTGACTGATTATCTTAAACTTGATTTGATGGTCTGCCATAACTTATTTACTTATAGCTTCTAACATTTTTCCCATACAGATGTTAAAACTAATTGGCCGGTAGTTTCCTGCTTTTTGTCACCCTTCCTTTTTAATAAAGGAATTACATTTTCTAACTTCTAATTTAATGGAGAGTTTTGGAAAATTAAAACCAATGCATCAACCATCCCACAAACCACTTCTTTTGCGATTTGAGGATGAATTTAGAGGACTCAATCATTTGTTAGCTTGCAGCTCTAACAGTTTACTCTGCATCACTTCCCTGCTGATTGTAATTTATTGAATTCCTCCTTTTTTTCCATATCTTGATTTATAGCTGCTTCCTTGATGTACCCTCAGTGGTGAAGACTGAGGCAAGATACCTGTTCAATTCATCTGCCAATTCTTTGCTCCATTATCAGTTTTCCAGATTCACATATTATAGGACCAATACTCAATTTGTTTACTCCTCTTTTGTAAAATATTTACATAAACTCAAGATCAGTTTTTTTTATATTTCCGGCTTATACATTATTTTTTACTCTGTTAACTTGCTACCCGTTCTTTGCTCAATCTTCTGAACTGCACTGTTGTATGCTTTTTATTTAAGTTTTATGCTAAACTTTTTAGAAACCACGGATTGTGGATTGTGTTCCCTTAGAATTTTTCTATGTTTTTGTGAGGTATCTATTCTGTGTATTCAGCAAAATCCCCTTAAATGTTTGCCACTGCCTCCCTATTGACCTATACTTTAACCTAGCTTGCCAATTCACTATGCTCTGTTTTCAATGTTACCTTTAAAGAAACAGGCTGAATCTTACATTTTCTCATCTAAATACCAATTGCACTGGGTTTTTTGGAGGGTTTTTTTGTCACAAGGATAACCAGATTTTCTTGCTGTATCTTACCAAAATCGCCTCATTAACTACTTTAAAAGACCATTATAAGTACCCAATCAAGTATTGTCAGCCTGGAGAGAAATAGTCGGAACTGCTGATGCTGGAGAATCTGAGATAACAAGGTGTAGAGCTGGATGAACACAGCAGGCCAAGCAGCATCAGAGGAGCAGGAAGGCTGA